AAAAAAAAAAAAAAACAAAACCCGCAGGCGGGCCAATTTGGCCCGCGGGCTAATGCGGGCGGGCCACGGGCTATGTATTTTCCAGCCCGCAGAAATGCGGGCCATTTTGGCCCGCCCCGTTTGGACCTCTGGCCAGCACGGGCCGGAGCGGACCGGGCCGGACCGGCCCGTTTGACAGTGCTACTTGAAACAATTGTTTTTTATTATGTAATTTATACTTCTTATTAGTCGGTATTAGCATTAACTTTTATATAATATAATAGACAAATACATGATTACACTTAATAGGATGTATTAATGTGAGAAGTAAAAAATATTAATAATAAATTTTGTAACCGAAAATAGAGAAATTTTTTTAAAGATTTTATTAAATAGGTAAAATTAAATGCTACATGCTAACAATTATAAACATAGATTATGATAAAGAAGATTGGGGAGTAGAAGAATTCTGAACGGATTAACAAAACGCATTGCGTAAGGGGAATCGTAGGGTCGTTTGACTCATTTTCCTTCGAGCATTTAAAAATAAAATAAAAATAAAAATCGAGGCCTTTCTGCCCCTTGGATTTCGGATACGTGTAACGCTGCGATTGATCATTTGTAACTAATTTTCACGAGATTTTCTACAGTAAAAGAAGACTCTTTCCATTCACAAAAATAATAACAATAAATAGTACCGAAACAAATCCGATTAATTTTTCTCAATCAGCAGACGGAGCTCGGAGAAAAAGGTTCGGCAATGGCGGCCTCCAACGGGAGCGAGTATTTCGAGCTCGACGTCGAGTACGAGGGGGAGAACGCGTTCATCCGGCCGTCGAACGCGGAATCGGTGGCGGAGGACGAGGAGGAGCTCCGGTGGGCGGCGATCGAGCGGCTCCCGTCGCAGCAGCGCTCCAATTTCGCGCTGGTGAGGCGCACGGCGTCGGATTCCGGCGGAGGAGGCGGCGATGGGGGCGGGACGGACACCGTCGACGTGAGGAAGCTGGATCGGTTCAATCGGGAGCTTGTTGTGAGGCGGGCGCTCGCCACCACCGCGCAGGATAACTTCCAGCTGCTTTCCGGAATTAAAGAGCGCCTCGACAAGTAATTATTGATTATTGAATCATTTTGCTGGATAATGATGATACAGTACACGCTCTCACGTCCTCTTCGTACATACACGATACATGCATAGCGTCTTCTCGATTCATTTTTTTTATTATGATTTTTTCAAATTTTTTACATTTCAAATCGAAAATAGTACGGGGAGATTCTACCGTCTCGTAACGAAACCATTCCGTGGGGTTTGTAACCGTTATATTATCGTGTAGCCGTCGAGGATAGTTGATTTAACGGTTACAAACCCGACGAAATGATTCAGTTACGGGACCGTAGCATTTCTCAATAGTATGGATATATGTTCACGTTTTAATGTTCTAAAATCATGTTTCAATTCATATTTCATTCCAACATATGCCAATATATGTTTCATCCCTATCAATGAATAACATGTTTCCATCATGATGTCATGTACATGAAATAATGAGTTCTTATGTTTATATTCTTTATTGACATTATGTGTTGAAAGCTTGAAATTAATTGTTATTTTATAATTATATGATGATTCAGGGTGGGTTTGGAGATGCCAAAAGTTGAAGTCCGATTTGAGAATCTGCACATTACTGCTGATGTGAAAATAGGCTCAAGGGCTCTGCCAACTTTGGTGAACTATTCTCGTGACATGCTTGAGGTAAAATTATTTTAAATTTAAATTTTCATGATAAGATTAAAAAAATGTCGAATATATATTTTTTTTTTAATTTCATTTTTTATTTTTTTATTTTTTTTTTTTTGTAAGTACTGAATTTTTTGCTTGTGCAGCATTTGTTAACTAAATTGAAGATATTTCACCCAGAAAGATATGCACTGACCATCCTCAACAACATCAGTGGGGTGGTAAAACCAGGCAGGTAAAGTATATCTCATAGACTTTAATTTACCGGGCTTCTGTACATGCATTGTATGCTAAATTGCTAATTGAGCAAAATAGTAAAATGGGAAATGCTACAGTCCCGTCGTTATAGAACTATTTTGATCCGCCAGGATTTGTAACCGTTAGATTATAATGTAACCGTCATGGACTCATGGATAGTTGATCTAACGGTTACAAACTCCGACTGAATGGTTCCGTAACGAGACCGTAAAATCTCCCAAGTAGAATATGCCGAATAATTTGAATTATGTAAGTTTGCCCTCGATAGCATAAAATTTCCAATAACTAATAATATTGTGAACATTATGCTCAAATACGTGAGTTGGTGCTTATAAACTAATTCAACAAAATAAAAAAAA